TTGTATCACTGACACAGTTTCGTATTGGAAAGTATAGATATTAAATGTAAAGACTGCATATTAGCAGGCTTATTGTATTTGCCACTAATAATAGGAGAAATTTTTAATTGCATCCTAATTTGTTAGAAACGATGCAACAGTTAAAAACGAAGACTAAAATATCTCGATCCGAATCAGACAAAATCTAATAAAACTTTGATATATATACAGTGTGGAAACCACTTATGGAATAAAATTGTTTGTGTCCTTATTTTAGAAAATAATAAAAAACTTTGAGATACCTTAACTTTTAAATTTAAAAGGGAGCTTTTTAGACATAAATTTGAATGTACAGGGTGATCAATGCAAGTCTGGCATAGTGCATAATCTGTATTTTAAATGAAACACCCTATATATTTTCATCTTTTTAAAAGCTCCTTAACAATCTGATTTCAACGAAGTATATCATGTAGGGTCTATTATGAATAATACAAGGTGAAATTTTGAAATTAGGTATTTTCTTCAAGACAATGAATTCATAGAATACCCGAGGTAATAGATTGGATTACATTAAAATAAATGCTCAACATGTTTTCTACCTTGTTGTTGGGAATACCACAGTCTCCTATAAAACTCGTTCCGAACTTTGTTAAAAGTTTGAGGTGAACTATTCCGTATTTCTGTAGTTATCCTTTCTTTTTGAGGTCTTCAATGTTGATTGTGTTGCATATACTTTGTTCTTGAGATATCCCCACAAAAAAAATCCAAAGGCGTAAGATCTGGTGACCTAGCTGGAAGTAGATTTCATGCAAGTGATTTCTCACCATTAAAGCATAATGGGGTGTTGCACCGTCCTGCTGAAACCAGACAGTTTCATGCGGTAGGGTTGGATGTAAGCAGATGGACAGTTCGTCGACGACTAGTAGAAGGTAATTTATTATCTAGAAGGCCAGCCCTATCTCCAAGCTCGCCTTGCTTTTGCAAGAAAACATGAAAACTGTAGTGATGCAGATTGGAGCAATGGATTGTTCTCAGATGAGTCCAGATTTAGTCTAAGGTCACCAGACGGCCGAGAAAGGGTTTGGAGAAGACACGGAGAGCGATATTTTCAATGTAATATTGCGGAAAGAATAAGGTATCGGGGGCTCCGTTATGGTTTGGGCTGGTATCAGTTCAGAAACCCATACTGATTTAGTTATTGTAGATAAAAGTTCTATGACTGCTGCAAGATACATAACAAGTATTTTAGATCAGCATGTGGTACCTTTTGCTCCTTTCATTGGACCTAATTTTATTTTTATGGACGACAACGCGCGTCCTCACCGTGATAGTGTCGTCAACCAGATTTATTATCAATGTTTTTCTTAATTTCAGAAAGTTTTGAATATTCTCTATAAGTCTCTATAAATAAATGAGTTTTTTGGATAATCTGTAAAAATTATTTTAATCTAACATATAGTTTTACATATACAGGGTGAGTTATGAGGAACTTTACATACTTCTACCATATGTAGAGTCCCTCAGAGTGCATATCATGTGGCCACTAAAAAATGTCAACTCCTCTTCTTTATTAATTAACAGGGTGATTTGTGTAATTGACCATTTATTTAATTTTACTGTAGTGTTTATACGGCTCATTTGATTTTTTTAATTTTTGCATGATACAGTACACTACTATCAAGCATTCGACTGGTATTAGCAAACTAAAAAATTCCAGGACTGGCTTTGGAAAAATTAATTTAGGGATTCGTATTAAATATTACACCCTGTATATATTTTTTTGAAAACGCAATAAGTGATTTTCAAACTACATAAATAGCCAATGAAAACGACATATGCGACAATGTTGTCGCACTTTTATTAAATTTTTAGTGAACGATCAAATCTTACCAAAAATAGAACAACCATAATGAAGTATCAAATTATAAGGTATTAATTTAAACAAATGTTATAAATTTCAAACATTTTAATTAAAATGAGTTCCTACAACATAATCTAATACGTAGAAAATTAACATCTTTACTGTCACTTTGTATTATCTCTATGATAGAATCAATTGTTTTTAAATTTTAAATTTTTACTCATAGATCGTATTGGGGCATTATTTTCGATAAATAATAAATTAAATTGATTAAAAAGTCAAACCTCTTGTATGTGTTAGTTTTTGTTGATTGTAAATGATTAAAATTGTATGTCAAATAATAATACATTGCATCAACTGTACTAAATAAAAATAAATCTAAAAAAGTTTAAAATAAAGGTTGGCGTTGACCGTTTGATGTTTCTTGATATTTTATACCCATTGTCATTATTGTCATTATCAATTGTTATTTATGTGTATAAGAATACATATTTCTTCTGTCATAGCTACGTTAAGTACATTGTGTCAGTTTTGGTAGAGCTTTTGTTACTTTGGTTCAAAATGCCACATCAGTTTTCGACCACAGAATATGCAGACATAATATTTGTTTATGGATTCTGTAATGGGAATGGTAGGGCTGCTAGTAGAGAATATCGCAGGAGATTTCCTAATCGTCGAACTCCCATTCATCCAACATTTAGGTCAGTTTTTAATTATTTGCGAGAAAATGGCACTTTTCCTAGTGGAACAACAGAGCGACATGTAGATGAAGCGCAGGAAGATGACATTATGGACGCCGTTACTATGAACCCTACAATAAGCACTAAAAAAGTAAGTCGAGAACTCAATGTTACTCAATCAAAAGTAAGTAGAGTCTTACAAAAAAATAATCTATACCCATATCAGATTCAAATGGTTCAGCGACTACATGCTGGAGATGAGATCGATAGGTTGGAATTTTGTAGATGGATTAACAATAATCGACCAACGCTATACAGGACACTATTTACAGATGAAGCCCAATTTTCTAGAGACGGGATAAATAATTCACGAAATTCACATGTGTGGGCAGAAGAAAATCCCCATGCTATTCGAGAACGTCGTTCTCAGTTAAGGTTTTCGGTTAACGTGTGGATTGGTGTCATAAATAACCAATTAGTAGGTCCTTACTTTTTTGATGGTCCTTTAACAGGGCAGGTCTATTTGAACTTTCCACAAAATATTTTGCCGAATTTGCTTGCCAATGCGAACGTTGCTATCCGAGGGATGTATTTTCAGCATGATGGGGCACCCCCACACTTTTTACTGGCAGTGGGACAACATCTCAATAATGTTTATGGCAACAGGTGGATAGGACGTGCAGGTCCTATTTCGTGGCCTTCAAGATCCCCTGATTTCAATCCCGTTGATTACCATATTTGAGGACGATTGAAGCAACTAGTTTACGCAGTGAATATTAATAACCGACAACAATTAATTGATAGAATTATACATTGTTGTAATACTATTAGAAACGATCCCCAGAGTATCCGTAATTCAATACGTCAATTAACTTATCTATTTTGAATTATTTTTATTTTGTTACCATTATTGTATCTTTTCCAGTTCTAATTTATGGGTTTATCATAACTATGTACATATTTTTAGTTTTTTTGTAAATTGTTCTTCGTTATTGTTAGTAGTTACTGTTTTTTGTTGTGCAGTGACTCAGTTTATCATTTCAATTAAAATAATTGAAATTTATAACATTTGTTTAAATTAATTACCTTATAATTTGATACTTCATTATCGTTGTTCTATTTTTGGTAAGATTTGATCGATCACTAAAAATTTAATAAATAAAAGTGCGACAACATCGTCGCATATGTCGTTTTCATTGGATATTTATGTAGTTTGAAAATCCTTTATTGCATTTTAAAAAATATATATACAGGGTGTAATATTTAATACGAATCCTTAAATTAATTTTTCCAAAGCCAGTCCTGGAATTTTTTAGTTTAGTTAATACCAGTGGAATGCTTGATAGTAGTGTACTGTATCATGCAAAAATTAAAAAAATCAAATGAGCCGTATAAACACTACAGTAAAATGAAATAAATGGTCAATTACACAAATCACCCTGTTAATTAATAAAGAAGAGGAGTTGATATTTTTTAGTGGCCACATGATATGCTCCCTGAGGGACTCTACATATGGTAGAAGTATGTAAAGTTCCTCATGACTCACCCTGTATACATGATTTAAAACTAATATCTTCAAACGTTTTCTTTTCTCAGCAAATAATACCCATGGATGGATTTTTTTGCACCTGAGTGTATGATAATGATGCCACAAAATAATGTATGATAATGATGCCACTAATGATGCCACAAAATTCATTTAATTTGGACATACTCAAAAGTTTGGGGGGATTTTGGGCTGCACACCCCCCTTTCTGTGCGCTTGGATTTTGTTGTTTATTTTTTATGAAAAATGCTTTCGTAACAAGAAAGTAACGTGTAGATTTTTATTACAAAATGTCAAGTAGTTAAGGAGATAATGCAAAAAACAATTTTTATTTTGTAACTTCAAAGGGCTGTAACTTTTTTTGTTTACACTTTTGTACTAAGGTAAGTGGGTTTCAATCAATTTATTTTTGTCCCCAGAATACATGATTTAATTTATAACATATCTTTTTGAAACATCCTGTATATATGATTGTGTAAAGGCTGTATATTAAGTGAGCAGAAAATTGCCGATAAAATGTGTGTAAATAATTTTATTGATGTCTTCTATAATAACGGATATCACTTATCAACTTTTGTCTCACCCTGTATACAATAACTTCGGTTTTAATATTGTTAAATTGATACAATGACTTCAGGATGTTTATTTATATAAAATAATCAATCGAGTTACAGATAAAAAGAAATAAGTGCCCTATTTGAAATAAAAAACAATAAATGAAACCTTGAATTTGTAGTAACAAAAAGCAGATAAAACTTGTTTCATCATTGTTATATTTTATAGTTTAAAGTTTAATGATTAGACTACGCTGGTTTTTAATGTGACATAAATTTTTTTAAATAAATAGATATTTATATAATAGAATTAAAAACCTAGTAGAATGTTTTTTCTGTACCCTTTACATTTGGTTATAAAAATAAATTGACTAGTTTGACTAACAACGCTTTATCTCGGCTTTGAATTCAGTCAAAGCCGTGTGTATCCTAAAATGTAACCTAGACTCCAAAGAATAGCCAGTATAGTTTTTCTTAGCATCTTCCAACGCTAAAATAGCCTTCTCCCTATTGCCGGTGTCCCACTCTATAAGAGCTAGCTCGACTATGGCATAAGGAATGATGTAAGTGTCTTCAACTAACAATTTATTCATTGAAATAACGGTTTCTAAGGAATTGAGAGCTTGCAGGGGGCTTCCCATGTGCCTTAGACAAGCCCCATGCAAGAGTAATACTAAAGCTTTATTATCCACATCATATTTGGTCCGCACAATGTTATTTTCGAGAGTAGACAATTCTTTTTCGATCAATTTTAAAATATTACTACCTAAATTAAAGTTATTTTTACATATTTTTAACAAATTCCACAAAAACATTAGTTCTACTACAGGAAGCACTAGGTGGCAATTCTGCGAAAAATACCTTTCGGCCTTCTTGAGAGCGAACTTTTCCATAGGCAGAGACTTACCGGCTATTCTTTGTTTATATTTAGGAACATCTTTCATTAATTTATCTATTTCGTCTAGTTCGGAAGAAGACAAGTCTTCCTTCATCATTAGTAAAATCGCAGCTTTTTGATAACTATACATAGTACGGGACCACTTACTGTGTCTTACCAGTTCGGAGCTGTAGTGAAGAGCTTGTTTCCACTCCAGGTTGAGGCAGTGAACCCATAGAAGCTCCCAGAAACATATGTGATGGAACTGCGGCCACATATTCTGCGACTTCCAGGATTTTATGTACCAGTCTTTGCTTTCAGTGAGATTTCCATTCAAAAATTCCAATCTTGCTTTGAAAAACAGGAACCACACACTGTTGGGATATTTCTCCAGTCTTTTGTCAATGATTTCTTTGCACTGTTTCATATCAGCTTCACGATGACTTAACACGTGGACAGCGATGAGGTTGTAGCCTAGAATGGCCATAATGCTCAACACTTGCCTAATACCGTCAGTTTCACAGCCCATTGCGAGTTCTTGTAGTCCTCTTTGCTTGTTACCAGAAAAGCCTATAAATTCCAGCAATTTTATAACTCTGCCTGGTAACATGGAGATCATTAAATTAAAAACACCTACTCCTACTCTCACACCTCCTTCAAAATGGTCTTTAGTGGGGTCTTTTTCCCAGTTTTTCTTAAGTAGTATTTGGTTGCAGTCTTTGTAAGAATTAAAGCAAGATCGTATTTTAATTCCTGCTTTAATAAAGCTGGCAAGTGTTTCATCTTCGATAAAAGTAAGCATTGATTTAAGTAGCATACTTTCAGCGTGACATAGCTCAGCGTGTGCTTCTACTTGTGTATATAAATCATAGTTTGGTTTTCTTACCATTTTTCCTAAGGACTCACTTATTGTGTTTTTCTTTCTATACCGATTGCACACTGTCATGGTTTGTTTTAAGGACTTGGAAGCTGCTCTGATAGCTTGTTGCTCGAAGGTAAACATAGCTTCCATGTACAAAAACATCGAATGTCCCAAGGAATGATACATACTAATGTTAGCGTAAGGTGTCATAAGGCTTCGAGCTTCCACAAACTGATTATTAAAGAAAAAATCAATAGCTCGACTAGCTTCCTCCAAGGCTTGAAATAAGGACATGTTTTCTGTAACGGGCAAGTCTTCGGCGTCCTGAAACTCATCTTGTTCGTCGCTGTCGGATTGGTATTCGATAATATCGCCGTCACTCATTTTGCAAATCTATTTATTCACTAACACTTTTGTAGATAACGGTACGAACACAAACAACCTCATAAAAGGAAATAGCACATGTGACTGTCGCTCGAACTTATACACACACACACTATGATCGTCAGTCAACGAGTCAACAATATTTTTAGTAGCAACCAACGCAACGTAGCGATCCCTTCTATCTCGCAGATTTTACGTCGAAGGAAGCGCGACGGCGACGCTATAATCAATATACTACGAGTTTTCCGAGCAGTAAGGTTGCGTGTAACATCACAATGAATTCCCTGACAAATATTTATTCACGGCTGAACGGGACAAGGCAAAAGATAATCCTTATCAGATAAATTACTGATTTAATTTAATAAAAATTAAACAATTAACCAACGCGTTGGTAGTTTAGGGTCAATGAATTCGGTACTTTCACTACTTTCTATAGTGTTACTTTCACTGTTCAGTTTTTCAGATGATTATAATGTTACATTGGAAGAGTTGTTAAATTGTGCATTGTTTTTGTTGAATTTCTTGATCTTGCGCAAAATCTTTCGATGTAAATGCCAAAAATAAACGCGGTGGTTTGTTATCGATGCGAAGGCGAGATACGTGCTCATATCCGAGCAGCGCCGAATCGAATGCTTTTAATCGATTACAAACTGATGAGTTAGTAAATTTTCGATTATTATGTTCTTATTATGTATAAATTAAATAAATAACGATGATTTAGACCTCGATTATTATACAGGACGATCAACTGTTGTGACAGTCAGTTATATTATTCCAGTTACTGAGGCTTAAAATATGTTAATACCTCCGAATTCTTTGTAACTGCATCGATTTCTTTGAAAATTTTAAATTAAGCTTGTCTTACCTTCCACTTCAAAAGTTATATACGCTGTAGATGCGCTTTTTGTTTTTAAGGGGTGAAAACTACCCCTTATTGAAGAAACTGGGAAAAACACGGATTTAATTATTTTATGCACTTAAATCTTCTTTATTCCCATAAGGTAAATATTGTAATGTGTTCTCTAATATGAAAGTTAATTATTTACAATTTTCAACCCTTAAAACCCTTTAAAAACCCTAAAAAAGCTAATACTTTATATAAAAATAATATAAAAAAAAGTCGCAGCAGCTTGAGACATTTCAATTATGTATTTAAATACAAATAAAAATTAATACCCTAGCTATACATTAATGTTTTATTTTTTCGGAAATTTTGAACCCTTATGACAAAAATGAATTAAAAATGAAATAAAAAATATTTTTATCGGTTTGAAACATTTTTTGAGTGTATTTTATTTAACGAAAATTTATTTTTTGCATATAAAATAACTTTTTATTATAATTTCAACATTTCAATGGTCAACAATTTTATTGGTCTGAAACATTTCTTGAGTGCATTTTATTAAACAAAAATTAATGTCTTGCTTATTTATTTATTTATCGTATGGCATACAATAAGAAATTGTTCGTATTTTCTGGCCTAACATCATCAGAAACGAAGATTTACTACACCTGACCAAACAAAAGAGGGTAGTAAATGAAATAAAGTCCAGAAAGTGGGGTTGGATCGGTCACACACTCCGAAAAAATAACTCCAGTATTGCAAAGACTGCCCTAGAGTGGAATCCCCAAGGAAAACGAAAAAAAGGTCGCCCAGTACAAACTTGGAGAAGATCCATCATGGAGGAGATAAGAAAACAAGGAAAGTCTTGGAATGAGGTGAAGGCCTTAGCGCAAAATAGAACCCGATGGCGCGTTTTCACTGAAGCTCTATGCTCCACTTAGGAGTTCAAGAACCTTATATATATATATATATATATATATATATATATATATATATATATATATATATATATATATATAATAAGAACACACAATTAAAAAATCAATATAAAACGTTACATGAAGTATTACAAACGAACGTCTAATGTATTATTAATATTATGTAAAACATTTTCGGTCGCATTCAGGAACTCATCGAAAACTCCACGGAATCGCCTTCGGGGACATTCTACAACAATGTGACGGACGGTCTGTCGTTGCGCACCACAGTTACACTCAGGAGTAAGGGCTTTTCCCCATCTATATAAGCTGTCAGATCATCTACCGCTGCTTGTTCTTATTCTGTTTAACGTTGTCCATGTATTGCGGGTCAGTTCAAAGCCTGGCGGTTTCTGATCGATACAGGCCATTTGATGTGCTTCCTGTGGTGAGTCGCTCTCCCATTGTGTTCTCCAAGCTTTGGTCAGGTTGAAATGTTCCTGATGTAAGGAGTTGGCTTTTAGCAATGGAGGATATCTGGAGCGCAGTCTGTTTATTTCGATATCAAGCTTATCTTGGTGTATGGGTAGTTGATGGTTAGCCTCAATTTTTCGGTATTCTCTGAGAAGAAAATGACTTCTTCGCAGTTTCGGCGGTGGAATGTGACTCAGAATGGGAAGCCAATAGTTCGGTGTGGGTCTAATTGTACCTGAGATCATTCGCATTGTCTGGTTTAATTGAGTGTCAATAATCTTTGTGTGTTGGCTATTGAGCCATACCGGGGAAGCATATTCAGCCACCGAGTATACAAGTCCGAGAGCGGATGATCTGAGTACGGAGGCTGAGGACCCCCATGTAGTGCCACATAGCTTTTGGACTATATTATTTCTCGTTTTCAGCTTTGCTGTCGTTCTTTGAAGATGTTCTTTAAAACTTAATGTTCTGTCCAGAGTCACTCCAAGATATTTTGGTGTTGAGTTATGAGTGAGCAGTCTGTTTTCGAAGTGGATGGAGAGTTTTTTGTTGGCTTGGGCATTATTCAGATGGAAACAGCACACTTCGGTTTTCGTTGCATTAGGCCGTAGCCTCCATTTGCGAAAGTATTCTCCCATAATGGCAAGGTCATCCGCTAATATTGTTTCTGTGATATCCATGTTATTATGTCTTGCTGCAATGGCCCAATCGTCAGCGTAGCCAAATTTCTGCAAAGTTGTCCTAGGTAGGTCCGCGATATATAAATTGAACAGTAAGGGTGCCAAAACAGATCCCTGTGGCAGTCCATTGCTGAGCTTCATTTGGAAACTTTTAGAATTGTCTATTGTGACTTGAAAAGGTCTGTCGGTGAGCATGTTATCAATGAGTTTAGTTACCTTTTGACACGAAACGGCACGGATTAGCTTTCAGATTAGTCCTTGTCTCCAGACAGTATCGTATGCAGCTGATAGGTCAATGAAATCAACGGATGTTTTTTGTTTTCTTTGAAAACCAGCTTCAGTATGTGTTGTTAAGGATAGGATCTGATCTGTGCAGCTGCGGTTAGGTCTGAATCCTGCTTGCTCAATAGGTATCAGTTCAAATACGTTTCTACTAATTCTGTTGCAGATTAAGCGTTCCAAAAGTTTATAAACACAGCTCAGCAAAGCAATCGGACGGTAGTTTTGAGGCTGATTATTTGCCTTTCCTGGTTTTAATATGGCTATAATCTTGCTTATAAAATAACATTTTATTATAATTTCAACATTTCAACCCTCAACCCAACTCCTTTGTCAAAAATGGATAAATAAATATTTTTTAACGATTTGAAACATTTTTAGAGTAGCGTGTAGACAAAAATTAATTTTTTACCTATAAAATGAGCCTACTTTTTTCAACCCTTGCAAGCACCACTTTTGATGAAAATTAAATCCTTAACTTAGACAAGGACATAAATAGAAAAAATTTTGTTTATATTATATTACAATTTTTTTATTTTCCAATAAACTAAAAATAAATAATATTTGCTCCAAAATTTTTTCCTTGTCCGAGGTGTCCATCAGGGGTGTATATTATCCCCTCTCCTATTCAATATGTAGTATTTGTAAATATTTAACAAATGTATGGAAAATGCAAATGAGGGCATAAAAATAAACAGCGAGTTAACGAACAATATAAGATATGCCAACGACACGGTGATCCTTGCCAGTACCATAGACGAATTACAACAAATAATGAAAAGACTTTATTCAGTTAGTGAGGAATACGGCCTGAGCCTCAACTTCAAGAAGAGAAAGTGGATGCTGATAAGCAAAAAGCAACAACCTGCTCGACAATTACGGATAAGTAACATACTCATTGACCATGTAGAATCTTATTTTTACCTTGGCACAAACGTAAAAGCAAAATGGGAACAGGCCAAATAAATTAAGGCGAGGATAGAACGAGCTAGAGCAGCATTTAGCAATATGAAAAAGCTCCTCATAAGCAAGGATTTGTCTCTTCCCCTAAAACTACGTCTAGTTAAATGCTACATTTTTCCGATTTTACTATATAGTATGGAGGCCTGGACACTGACGGAGACGCTCACGAGAAAACTAGAAGCATTCGAAATGTGGGTGTACCGATGCATTCTTCGTATATCCTGGACCGAACATGTCACCAACATAGAGGTACTCCAAAGAATCGGAAAGGACAAAGAAATCGTGAATACAATTAAACAAAGAAAGCTTGAATATCTAGGCCACATATTGAAACACGATAAGTACCGTCTGTTGCAATCGATTGTCCAGGGAAAAATAGACAGTAAGCGAGGGCCAGGCAGGAGAAGACACTCGTGGCTCCAAAATCTGCGGAAGTGGTTCGGGCTCACATCGGTCGAACTATTCAGAAGCGCCGCAAACAAGATTAGAATTCCCATGTTAATAGCCAACGTCCGCAACGGACAGGGCACGTGAAGAAGAAGAAAATTAATTCTAAAAAGTACTATTGATTATTTTACAATACCTTAATTTTGATGCTACAACATGCATAAAAAAACGATTTTACACGTAAATTAACGGGCTATAAGTATAGGAATGTTAAAACATTCTAAAGTCCTTCATGTTTAAAGGGTAAAGGGTCAAAGGGTCGAAGACCAGTGGTTCATATAAAGCAAACTTTAACCAACTATATCTTCGTTATTGTTTAAACTACAAAAAAATTAAAAAATGAAAATTTTTGTTGAAAATAAAAACCTATTTTTTGTATTCTGTTTTATTATAAAT